TGGAAATGCAAAAAACAACAAAAGTAACGCCAATAGCTACAACAAGGTTATCTTGCAATTAACTGTAAAGAAAAAACCATTAAACCTTTCTGGCATCTCCAATTTCCACTCCTAAATTAATCAAACACGAGACTATCGACATGAGACTAAACATCTTAGTAATTTTTATTGACTAGTGATGAATTTCATATCATTAAGCACGTGATAAAACCAAAAAGAGGAACATGTAAAATGGGTATGGCTTAAAAGGTTAGATTTTGAAGTTTGATGGAGATCATGGATTGTAAAATTAGGAATTTGATGAACTCGAATGAGGGATTTAAAGTAAAACCCTAATTTTTATGGGTTTAAAAAATTAAATTGTTTTAAGATAATGGTTTTGAAAATAAAACAATGGAGGTGCAGAGTGTTGATTATTATGGAAAAAAAGATAGATACATATAAAAGATAAAATACCTTACGGTTGCTGCCACCGCCGGTGAGAGAGTGATGATATCACTTCTAGCACCAGTGAAAGAGTGATGATATCGCTTCCAACTCAGTGAATATCACATTTTTCGGTGAAAGAAAGAAGACAACAGAAAGACTGAAGAAACGACGAAGAAGTATGTAAAATGACTTATCGAAAATGAAACGGTAAGTCATTTTAAGCGAAAAACTCAAGTTTTTTCGTTGACTTGTAAAACAAATTACTTTGACCAAGTTTATTTCACTTTACCAAACACGAGAAAGTAAGTAAAACACTTTCCGTAAAACGAAATACTTGAAACAAACACACCCTTGGTACAAATGTTGTTGTAAACTCTTGAAAATTATTACTTTTGACCGAATACTAATTCAATTAGTACAAATGTTTTAAAAATATATATTAAAATATTAACAATAATATAAAAAAATAATCCTCTCCAAGAATTAATTGTTCAAATGGTGCGAACGATACAATGCTTGTATTGGTTGCCATGCAGTCCAAGCGAGCTTATAGGCCGCCATGCAGTCGTTGCGACCTTGTAGGTCGCCATGCAGGTAGCTCGAACTCCTCCGTGTTTCTGCTATAATCATGACAAAGGTGGCCCTGCCTCCCTCAGCCCTGTCTCCCTCATACATACAACAATAATTTAACGTAAATTGAAGGCGTGAAAATGATGCAATAATTCACGTAAATTACAGGCATGATTTGCAACAATAGTTCGACCCCTCAGCCCTGTCTCCCTCATGCATGCAATAATAATTTAACGTAAATTGAAGGCGTGAAAATGCAGCAATAATTCACGTAAATTGCAGGTGTGATTTGCAGCAATAGTTTGACATGGTGGTGGTTCTGCAGTGACAAAGTTGGCCTTACCTCCCTCATACATGTTGGCCCCACAAGCTCATCCTCTTTCGGTGGCAATAATTTTACGAAATTTGCAGGTGTGATTTGCAGTAATAATAGTCGTGTGATATGCAACATTATTTTGTTTCTCTCATGTATGCAACATACCTACATGATTTGCACGTTTTAATAGTAACATTATTAATACGTGAAAATTGGATGAATTATTGTAGCAGCTAATTTAGGGTTTATGGAGTCAATTTAGGGTTATTTATGAGTTGGTAATTGGGTATGGGGTACGTTTAAGAAGAAAGAAAGGGAGAAGAAGGAAAGGAAGAAGAAAGGGAGAAGAAGGAAAGGAAGAAGAAAGGGAGAAAAAAGAAAGGGAGAAGAATGGGAGAAAAAGGAAAGGAATAAGAAAGGGTGAAGAAGAGATCGGGTAAAAGTTTGTTAGTTTGTTAATTTAAATCATTAGTTTGTTAGTTTAAGTTATATTATATTAGTTTGTTAGATTAAGTTAATATTATATTATTTGAAAAATTAGTTAATTAGTTTGAAAGTTTCTTAGTTTAGGATTTAGGGTTTATAAAAAATTATTTAATTAGTTTGTTAGTGTGTTTAAACTTATATTAGTTTGTTTGTTATGTTTTTAATTAGTTTTTGTAGTCAAATTAATTTATATATCTTTTATTTTATCATTAATATTTAATTTAAAAAATATCAAAATTTGATTTTACCATTAATATAGTATATTAAATTATTTATTTAATGATTTATGAAATTATCTTATCAAATTTGTGAAATCTAAATTTATATATTTTTTTATTTGTAGAGAAAATGAGCAACAAAATTTTCACGGTTGTCCATTATAATGGACAAATTATGGAGAATGGGTCGAAGTTGTTTTTCAGTCTGAAAACCAATAAATATGATGTTCAAAAGAGACATCACATTTCTAGAAATGAAGCAGAAGATAGAAAGAAAATTTTGAGCTGCAGTTGATGGTTTGATGTATAGGTTTATGATATGTCCCAACCCAGTCAGATATGTTGCAGTACCAATTGAAGAAGATGATGATATTGGAACCATGATTGGACTACATGAGTCAAGCAATATAGCAGTTATTGAGTTATTTGTTGATGTGCGTAACATATTTGATGTTCCTGGGTATGAGACGAGAAATATACACCATTCAGAATTGACTGTTGATATTGATGTTGAAAATCGATGGGGAGAAATTCATGATGATTCAAGCGAAGATGAAGAAACAAAAGAATCCGTTTTGGGCGACGATGATAATTTTTTTGGTGGAGGTGCAATTGACTTGGCCATTGATGAAGTTCTGACACCGTATGAAACTACTCCTCACATGTACGAGATAGATTATGAAGCGATGAGGGCACCTGAATTCCCAGACATGCCACATTTACCTCTGTACCAAATGGCTGAATCATTCGAAAATTCTGGTGAATTTTCAGTTGGGGTGCAATTCAGAGGAAAAAATGAAGCTACGCTGGCGATTAAAGAATATTGCATCAAATGCCATATTGATGTCCATGTTGCACAGTCCAACCAAAAAACCCTATACGTGAAGTGTGTTAAATATGACCCAGAGTGCAAGTGGAAAATGAGAGTGTCGAAAATTCAAAGGCAAGATTCTTGGGTCATCACAAGGTACAATGGTCCTCACACATGTTTGCGAAACTCCATCGAACAAAACCACCGACTATTGGACTCCGATATAATATGTCAATACGTGAAAGCGATGGTTGAAAAGGATCCAAGGATCTCTTGTTCAGTGTCAGTTGTATTTATTCGAAGCCAATTTTGATATCAAGTAAAATACGACAAGGTGTGGAATGCGAAGAAGAAGGCAATGAAGCTGACGTATGGAGATTGGATACATCGTACAATGATCTACCACATTTGCTATAAGCAATGAAGTGATTTATCCCAGGAACCATAGTGAAGTCTCAAACCCTGGCTGCACATGATGAAGAAGGTCAACTTGTGCCAGGGAAAAAATATTTCATAGACTCTTTTGGGCATTCAAGTCATGTATTGAAGGATTTCCATTTTGCAAACGTATGATCCAAGTAGATGGTACGTGGTTATATGGTCAATATAGGCATGTACTCTTGATGGCAGTTACGCAAGATGATGAGCGAAATATCTTCCCAATTGCATTTGCCATTGTTGATGGAGAGACATCAGAGGCTTGGGATTTCTTTTTGACATATCTACGTCAATATGTCATTCGAGAAGATGGAGTTTGCTTGATATCCAATAGAGGAACATGTATTTTGGCGGTAATTGAACGACCAGGAAGTCGTTGGATACCTCCTCATGCATATCCAACATTTTGTATCCGTCGTATTGGTAAGAATAATATCGACCAGTTTCATAACGCACACACGTAGCGAGATAGTAAGCATGAGTAAGTTTTATTCTCAATATTTGTGCATTTTTATGTGGTTTTTTTAATTGAGATTTAATACAATATATTATGAAACAGGATACGAACTACGCCGACCAAATTTTGATAACAGATTGGAGAATTTGAAGGTATGTTATGATGATCAGCGTGTTTGGAAGTGGGCTTCAAAAATACCGCGGGAAAAATGGTCGCAAGCATACGATGAAGGTCGACGATACAGACATACGACCACAAACCTTACTGAGTCCATTAATTCAGTACTAAATGGTACACATCATCTCTAAATAACGAGTGTGGTGAAAGAGACGTACTTTAGGTTGGCTAAGGTTTGGTCCGATAAAGGCAAGGAAATTGAGACTCTAATAAATAGAGGTCACACTTGGGCTTCTACAGTGGTGAAAGCAATGGAAGCAAATGAGCGATTGACAACATCAAAGGTTGTTCATAATTTCGACCGAGTTGGTCATACTTTTGTTGTGTCATGCATACGACGTAACGTCGGAGGAAAAGACCAAACATTTAGAGTTGATTTACGACATAAATAGTGTGATTGTGGTCGCTTTCAAGCATGGAAATATCCATGTGCTCATGCAGACACTGCATGTATGTTTGTTGGTGTAAGCGCATACACTTATGTTGATGAATGTTTTCACCTACATAGGATATTAAATGTTTACATATACGCGTTCAGGCAGATCCCAAATGAATCATATTGGCCTAAAAAGGATCATGACAAATGGCTGCCAAATCCAATGCTTCGTAGAAGTCTAAAGGGTCGACCTGAGTCCAGTTGTATTCATACCAGTATGGATTTCCATGCTAGAGAGGTCAACGAAAGAGATGAAGATTATGTAGGGGTGAAGGTTATTCAAAAAACAAATGTCCTAATTTACCAAGATATAGGCCTCCTCATTATTAATCATATATATATTTCTATGTATTTATATATTTGATTTTGTAATAATGAACCTTTTTTGCAAAGAAATTTATGTAATTTTTTTATCTTAAATTATTAAATCTTCGAATTTAAGTTTAATTCACCCGACGGAGACCATATAAGTTTTGGAGGAGGTCATGATCCCATGGACTCTGCGGAATAGGTTGGTGGAAGTTGAATTGCCTCAGCACTCTATCCGAAAATTAGATCTCAACAAAAGAAAATTTGATCAATGGTTTAACAGTACACCAATATTGACACTCATAAAAAACAGCGTGCGACACACACACCATAATTTGTGCATCTACGTATGATCTCCAATTAAGCTGTAAAATTAAAATAACAATAAAGTTGATTTAAATCAAATAATATAATTAATTTAAATAATAATTAATAATAACAAATTATACATACTTCCTTTTTGCCCTTAATGTCGATCTTTAACCTAAACTCTTTTATATTATTGTGCACTAACCCCGTGCCTTCAATTTTATGCCTCCATCTGTATATCAATCAAAACAAAAATATGACCATTTAGTTCAATATTTTTAATCAAAATAAGTAATTAATAATAAATATTTTATATTAAAATAGAGAATTCATATTACCTTCCGGCAAGTGGAAAGTCAACCGCAGTCCGACTAATCGGTGTCAAAAACGGAAGTCTATGACAAGCCCATGATTATAGCAGCATCAGACATCCACCGATTTCTACTGTATTATTATCATTCACGACTAATAATGCCTTGCACATCTGACGATACAAGAACACCAATATCACCGATCCCCAGCTACATTGCATACTATTCACAAAATTGCTTAAAAAAAGAAGATACTGAGTGTGAACATAATTACTGGATTTATCCGGCATCAAAATTACCCCAATAAACTGCAATATATATGCTCATGTTTCATATATAATTTCTTGCTCCGTACTATTTGGTTGGAGCTGAAATTGATTCTTCAACCATGACAACTTCACAAGCCACCCTTTACACTCTGGTGTTACCGGCGTTTTCCCAAGAAACACACTACAAAGTTGTGCCACATTTTTGTACTCATGTGTCATTACCACTAGCATCCCATTTGTTTGGACCCCGAGTTGCATTGCCACATCCTCCAGAGTTATCGTACATTCTCCACACGGAAAAATTAAATGTGTGTGTTTCTGGTCTCCAAAGTTCAATCAACGCACTGATCAAACATGGGATCAACTCGTATTCTCGCACAAATGTTACATAGTAAAATATAGTTTGTTGCAAGTTTTCTTCTATCAATTGGTGTGGCTTGGACGAAATAATTACCCGATGACGAAGGACTCGCTGATCGTCCTCCTGCAATTAAATAATTCAAAAAATTTATCACAATCATGAAATTATCTTCAAATATTTAATAATAATAATAATTCATTAAATACATATTTTATTTTATTAAATAATAATAATACCATTATTCCCAAATGAGTAGAAATATGTTGATTGTCAAGTCTCAATAGTGGATTTTGGTCAGCCATTCGAATGAATCTGTAAAAAAATTAAACAAAATATTTTTATATAACTTAAACTAATAAACTAATTAATTAAATTTTTTATATAATATAACTTCAACAAACAAATATAACTAAAACTATTTAACTAACAAACTAATTAAATATTTTATATATATAACTAACAAACTAATTAAATACTTTTTTTAGAACATCATTTAAACTAACAAACTAATATAACTTAAACTAACAAACTAATTAACTAAATCTTTGTTTTACCCTAAACCCTAAACTAACAAAATAATAATTTAAAATAATAAACTAATTTAAAAATAACCTTACCCGATGTTATTCTTCTATGTTCCTTTCCTTTCTCTCTTCCTTTCCTTTCTCTCTTCTCCCTTTCTTTCTTCTGCTCAATGCTTGTTAAATATAACCCTTGTATCGAATATATAATCCATTGGCTGCTTCACTGGTGCAATTATTTCAGCCCATCACGGGCTGTTGAAGGAAGCAACAATTATTGTTGCCTGTATGAGGGAGACAGGGCCAGCATGCATGATATGCTGCAGGGCCACCTTTGTCGTGATTACAGCAGAAACACGAAGGAGTTCGAGCTGCCTGCATGGTGACCTACAAGGTCGCAGCGACTGTATGGCGACCTATAAGCTCGCTTGGACTGCATGGCGACCAATACAAGCTCGCTTGGACTGCATGGCGACCAATACAAGCACTGTATCGTTCGCACCATTTGAACAATTAATTATTGGAGAGGATTATCACGTGATTTTTTTTTCACTGCATTTTTTACGTGAGTTTAATCTATGTAGAAGAGATATATAATATAAACTAAGTATCATTGCTTCAAATGTAGGCACACCTAAAGATAAGCAGTTGAATTATTTTGGAGAGGTACACAGTGACAAAGATGCATACATGGTTGCTTAGTTGGTCGATAAAAATACAGCGTTGATCCTTATAAAATTACATTTTCAGATTTCTAATAGTTTCCCGCACTATCATTATCAAAAATGTCATATTAAATACAAAATATTATATATTAAAAGATAACTTTAAATTATTTGACTTTGAACACTCACATCCTTAACATTCATGATACTCGAACCTGTGACCTCAAAGAATAATAATTTTTTTTACCACCGAGATCGCTTAGGTCGGGTCAGGCTTTTTTGAAGGTTATATTCAGGTTAGGCCGTTCAGGTTTAGAGTGAGAAATACTCGTCCCAACCCGAAAAAAATATAATTTTACCATATATATTTAATGATAATTGCAATAATATCTCTCTATATATTATTTTTTAATTAAATATTTATTTTTATTGAATAAAAATAATATTTTAAATAAATATATTATTTTGGGACATGTCAAATCATGTTCAGATTTTATCTCAAAAATCGAATCAAATTCAGGTCTGGTCATCCAAAAAATCGACCTATGCCCATCCTTATTCATATCTTGCATTCATAATATTTGAATTTAAAACTTTAAAAACTAATAATAATTCTTTTATTAGGTAGATTGTTCGGTTGTTCGACCTTCATGAATGAATATGAATGATCATCAATAACGTTGAACCCGTAGGCTCCACTCTCAAACCCACACCTCCTATCTTTACTCTTCGGGTGCGTTTAGTTCACGGAATGTAAGATTACTAGTGGGAATAAAAGATTACCAGAGAATAGGATTACTGAGAATGTTGTATTTTGTGTTTGGTTGGTTTAGCAGGAATGTAAGATTACCGTGTTTAGTTAAAGGAATAAAAGATTATTGGAATGTATATTTGACCAAATTGTTTTTATTATATATTTGTTTTTTAACAAGTTGAAAAATATTTATATATTTCTTTAAAAAAATTAAATTCATAAAATTTATATAATTTTTTTTTACAAAATTAAAAATATAAAAAGGTTTAATGAAAAGGTAAAATTTTATTTTAACCCCTGAACTTTTATTATTCAATGACAAAATAAGAATATTTTTGAAAGAAATTTTTTTAAGGGCATTTTAGTCCAAAACGTCGGTAATCCAACAATACCTAAGGAAATAGAAGTAATGACATTCTCGGTAATATACCCAAAAATCACTATTAGTAATGTAAGATTATCGGGAATAACATTCCCGACCAACCAAACGAAAATGTGAATTCCATTCTTATGAAAATCTCACGTTCCCCAACCAAACATATCCTTCCATCCTCGCGTTTAAATTTAATTCCCTCTTCCTATATATCCATGCCCCCTAATCAACCCGTCACTCATTGACTACTCTATTCTATCCGTTTTCCTGCGAAAATGCACCCATCTCCGGTGCTTCTCACACTTGTCGCTGTATCTATACTGCTCACACTAACTCCGGTCATCGGATTCCGTCCATGGCCTCACTTAAAACCCAACACTTCCGACTTAATGTACGGAAGCTCCAAGAAATTCGAGGGCTCATCGGAGTTCATCCAAATGAGATACCACATGGGTCCAGTCCTGACCGCCAACGTCACTATTCACATTATCTGGTACGGCCGATGGCAGAACTCCTAGAAGAAGATAATTCGTGAGTTCATCAACTCGATCTCCGCCGTCGATGCCAAGCGACCTTCCGTCGCCGGTTGGTGGAAGCCGTACAACTTTATACGGACCAAACGGGTGCCAACATCTCCCACTCGGTGCATTTAGGGGAAGAGAAGAACGACCGTTTTTACTCGCACGGGAAGTCATTGACGCGCCTGTCGATACAGTCCGTGATAAAAAGCGCGGTGACTGCGCGTACAAAACCGCTGCCGATAAACCCCAAAGGCGGACTCTTCCTCCTGCTCACGTCCGATGACGCGTACGTCCAGGATTTTTGCGGCCAGGTGTGTGGGTTCCATTACTTCACCTTCCCTTCCATCGTGGGGTACACGCTCCCTTACGCGTGGGTGGGTAACTCGGCGAAGCTCTGCCCCGGTGTGTGCGCCTATCCCTTCGCCGTGCCGCGTACATGACGGGATTGAAGCCGTTAAAGTCACCCAACGGTGACGCGGGAGTGGACGGGATGATAAGCGTTATAGGACACGAAATTACTGAGCTGGCAACCAATCCCTTGGTGAACGCTTGGTACGCGGGCAAGACCCAGTTGCACCCGTCGAAATAGCGGATTTATGTGAGGGAATTTATGGAACTGGAGGCGGTGGATCTTACACTGGACAGATGTTGAACGATAGAGATGGTGCCACGTTTAATATGAATGGGATCAGACGGAGGTACTTGGTTCAGTGGGTTTGGAATCATATTGTTAGTTACTGTACTGTGCCTAACGCTCTTGATCAATAATTTATTATATTTTAGGGTTTTCTTCTTCTTCTTTGTTTTGGATCTTCTGGTATTGTCCTATCTTGATTGCTTAAGGTTGTTGGGTTTATTAAATATGTACATTTTGTAATATTTATTATTCCTTATTATAACTTTTAATTAACAGTTAATGATTTTACAAATCACATTTTTCGATTATTTTAGTTTAAAATCGGTCAATTCAAATTGACCAGAAATATTAAATGTTTAATATATTATATATTTTATTTATATACACTTAACCTTAGGAGGGTAACGGAATTAATCAACCAATTAATTGGATTAATAAAAAATATTTAATATGTAATATATATTATATATATTTGATTAATTTAAAAATCAATTGAATCAACTGAATTTTGTTTGATTTGATTAAAAATTGATTTTTTTATTCAGTTATTGATTAAAGTAAAAAGATTTCGATAAATTTTAAATAGTTTGATACGATTGATTAACCAAGCCACATGATTAAAACACCCTTACACTCGACACCCATCGATCATCAAACTGAAATCATATCCCTTCTTACTCGAGCCACAAAAATTTCACCTCCTTAGCCATCAAATACACTTCAAATTATTTAAAAATTTAAAAATAAGAAATTGTTCAAAATAAAATATATTAAAAAACAATCAATTAGCTTTACCAAATTCTCTCTAATGGACTCATGTTACTTTTCTCATCTTTCATTTTTATTTCAACCTTCAATATATTTTTTATACCGTAAGAAATTGGTCACCTAACTATTGTTTTTAAAATTATATCTAACGTTATTTTTTGGTTTCATTTTGATTACATCTCGTTAAAATTTTAACAGAACTGTTGCTGTGATATTTTCAATGACATGACATTATCTTATGGTGACATGTCAACATTAATGTTAAGTTTTTAACAGCG